AAAAGCCGCTCTCCCCTCCCCCCCCCCCCCCCGCATTGTGCAATCTAAGCTAGTAGCTGCCTAACAGTTTGGCCTGCAGATTTTCAACCTGTGGACCCTGAGAAGTCTTTGGGCTATTCTGAAGGGTCCCCTAAAGATAACTAACTCAAGCAAGTCCATTGTCATTGGTCTAAATTCACTCACTATATAGGGGCCTGCCTTGCTGTTGGGAAACGTATGGGCGTCTGTACAGCAAAAAAGGATGGAAACCACCGATCTGACATGTAACCGATGTTAGGATTGCCAGCAGCATTCACGGAGTGGACAAGTGGCTTCTGCATCCGCAGGATGAGTGAATCTCACCCTGATATCAGCCTCAAAACCAAACGCTGAACCTACAGCAAGAGCATCTGCAAATGCAGCAGACCAGTTTTCCTTCAGGGTTTGGAGAACACACACAAGCCCGCGGGGCAGGGCCACGCCTGGGATATGTAGCAGTGTGCTATGGTGGCACGCACATTTTTAATGACAGTTCTATACAAACAAAACGTTTCCACAAAAGCAGTTTACTCTGGCCAAAACTCTTGCCAGTTACTTTTGTTCTTAAGAGCTGGTCTAAAATTTTCCATCCGAGTTCTTTTTTTCTTTTGGGACAAACTGTGTCTCTTATGGGATGATCTATCAAAGTTACTATCCCACAATTTTTTATCAGTGCAGGTTTTACTGCCACAAGATTTTTGTCTTCCTCAAAAATATCTGTTGAGATATAAGATATCTCAATGGGTTCCTGCTCTGGTTTGGCAGGTTCTAGGTATTTCTTCTGTATTCTGATGTATTTCTGAAATAGAAGAAATTCTTTGTTCAAAAAATAGTTGACAAATATTTGAGCTTCATGGGGAAGTGAAATATTTATGAACTTTAGAGCGGCCGTGCCAGTGCGTATTAGCCTCGAGGTGTAATGTTCCTGCTTGCCTGCTCTTTTGCTCTTCTTGCTTCCAACTTCACTGAGTCAAATAATGCAGCTATTTCTCATAATTAGAAATCATTACAAGCCCTTCAAAGAGCTTTTCACATGACTTTTGGTCAGGCCTGGTATTTTTTTCAATTTGAGACTGCCTTATCGAGTTTGTTTTCATAGGTGAAGTCTTTGCTACGAAAATGAACAAAAATTGCCCTTTACGCATTAGAGTACCTAATTTCTGGAGGCTGTTTTGGGTGATTCCATGTCCAATTACTGGGGGGAAAAAAAAAAAAAGATTTGGCTGCAGTATCTGATGACGGAAGATCCTTACCCAAACCTTCCAGAAAAAATAGTTTACAAAAATCAGCTTTTAAATGGAAGTTGAAAGCAATCAAATTATTTTAATTTTGAGAAATGTATTAAAAATTCTCTGTCTTTTGAAAAGGTGAACTTACTTCACGGATGGGCTATCCTCCTGATTGCTCATCTGGTGGGCCAAGCTGCATGAATCCTATATATATATATGTACACACACATACATACAGGATTATTTTATATATATATAAAGCTATTGTATGGATTAGAGCCAGGCACCTGCCCCAAGAACAGCTGTCAGGATAGTGTTGCTATTCATTAATGCAGGTTAAATTGATCTCGTAAGCACACTGAGATTTTTCCCAGCGGATGGGAAGCCCTGAGCGGGGCGTGCTGACCTTGCCTCTGAAGCTGGGCCTGCCAGGGATGTCGCCAGCGATAATATTCTGCATTTCCTAATAGCAGGGTAGGAGAGCAATGATAATGGGGTAGAAGGACAGGAAGCTTTTGATACTAAACATACCTTTTTGGCATCCTGAAAGCTTTGTCATGTCTGCAGACAGAAGAAAAAAAAAAGATGCATTCATTTATTATTTTCCTACGAAGCACAGTGCTGGGCTGTTAATGAGCGAGGTAACCCTTTCAGGGGCTGGAAAGCACCAAGCTGAGCCATTGCTGCAAAAGTGCTGGCACTACATGAATTAGTTTAATGAACAATGGAGTCTTTTCCTCTCCGTTGGCATTTTAACCAAACAGGATGGGAAGTCATGTAGTCACTCCTCATTTTTGCCCGTCTAAGAAAAGCCTGTAGAAAGTAATGGGCATTAGCAGTGTAATCCCATAGAAATAGCACTGCAACTCTATCCATGAAAATCCAAGTGCTTTCCTAATGAATTTTTAAATTGTTTCTTGACAAGAGCATACCTCTTTTTAAATTTCATCAGTTGGGCTAGCAATGCCTACGGATAGTTTTTATTTTCTGTTCCGCTCAGCAAGGATTTTCCAAAAGGGTGGCTCTCATTTGTTTCCTGGGCCCTTCCCAAGACAGCGTTTGTCCAGTCTAGAGGAGCAGAAGGCCAGTGGAGCTGCTCGAAACATTTTACCAGGGTTTCCTTCACAGAGGAGCATTTGTCATTCCTACTTGTAGGGCTCTGAGGAATGAAATAAAGAAGCCATCCCCAGGGGATCCAAGGTTACGTTTGTTAATGAATCCCTGAGGGCAAGCTTTCCACTGACATCTTAACAGAAAAGCTGCACCTCAGTGGGTCACCATATCTGAAGGACCTTTCATTCTGCTCTCTGTTTCCACTGAAATGTCCCCTTGAAATATGCCCCAGCCCGGCATGGCCTTGGGTTGCAATGCAGCTTCCAGTGAACTGCTCCCAGCTGTGGCTTCCTCCTCTCTCCAGAGCCATGCCAAGCCTAGCTCGGTGAGTGCTCCTTCCTCCCTTCACCCTCCTCCTACGCTCTTGGCTTAAACTGGGAGAAGGTCCTGCTGCACTCCGATATCTGCGTGGGGCAGATGGCCCTGGGTGCCACGGAAGATGCTGGCTGGAAGGGGCAGAGGTTGTAGCTTAGGCAGTGGGGAAGCCCATCCTGCATACATCATCACAGCGCTGCCCAAGAAACAACCACCACCCAAGCAAGTCACTGGGGCGCTCTGCAGGCAAATGGAGCTTGCCTGATTCTGTCATGGACAATACAGAATTTACACCCTTGTTGCTGCCCAACCTGGAAAACCAAGTAATCTTCACCACTTTTGTATTTCTCACTGCTCAGCTGTAGCCAGTGCTTACCCTCTGCTGCCTCTCCCTTCCAGCACAGGCAGCAGCTTCGGTGGGGGCAGAAAAAGAAATTAACTCTGCTCTTATCACTGAGAAACTCTGCCAAGATAAAGGATTAGCCAGCTGGATGCCTTGCAGTGCAAAAGGAGAAAAATACAAAGATCACAGAAGATGGGCATAATCAGAGCTGCATGATCTAGGAGCAACTGAGTGACCTTGGCTTTATCCAATGAGTCACCCTGAGAAGCAAATCCTGCCTCTCCCTGTTGTGGGAATGGCAGCTCTCTGTACACTTTCCACAGAGATGGAGAGACCAGACTGGATCCCTCTGGGCATTTTGGGGCAGCTCCTGTCCCAAACTGAAGAGCAAAACCATGTTTTGTGCATCCCCACTCAGACCCTTCTCATCCCCTCCCGCTTCCCACCACAAAGTTCAGGAGACGCTTTTTGAAAGCCCCTGAGCCGCTCTCCATGTGCCTCTTACCTGACTGTTACAATGTGATGCTGCACTGGCCGTCGCTGCCCGGGGGACCACTGTTTCCAGGGGGTTTCCGAGGCCTCGTGGTGGGAAGCTGGCGCGGGATCACTGCTGGAAAGGTGGGAACACAACATGGGCCTCTCGCCATGCCCAGGGAGCGGGGGCAGGCCATAGCTGCCTCGGGGCTCCTGCTGGTTGCAGGGGTAATAGAGGTGATGCTGCTGCAAGTCCTGGGAGCTTGACGGCACCTGGCCATTGGACTGGGTGGAGACTGGGCCAAGCGTGTGGCTGGAGGAGGGCAGGCGGTCTCCCCCCAGCCTGGGGGATGCAGGAATGGGACAGTGATGGACCGGGCAGATTCTTTCCCAGGAAGTGCCACTGTAGCTGGGCTCGGTGTTCCCGATCTCTGGCATGGCGAGACAGGTCTGGCAAGGTCCTGTATTTTGTTTTTCTCTGTGAGAGAAAATAAAGGTATGGTAAAACAGCAGAGCAGTAGAAAGGCTACGCAGGGGAATCACATCCTGCAAACTGGAGACTCTCACAGGCCTCCCACATAACACAAGATGTAAATCCTCACCATTTGCTGTACCAAGAGCCAGTCTCAGGGCTGAGCTGGATTATGCTTTTTATAAAGACATCCATCACTCACTCAGGGATTCCAACTGATGGAGAATCCGTCACATCTTTGTGCACGTTGCTCCAAAATTTTGAAAAATTGGGTCACATCCCCTCAAACAGTTCTCCAAGATATTTCACTGTGGAGGGGGCAGAACGTTCTGGCTGGTGATAACGGCAGGGTCCTAACTCAGAACCACAGAGTGACTATGGAGATTTGGGAAAAGGAAACCAAAGGAGACTGCATGTGAAAAAGACACTCAATTATCTGTGCTTCGTGGGAAGATGAATTTGTTTGATCGCTCTGCAGAAGGACTGGCTTTGCTCTACGTTGGGAGTGTAGGAGAGTGAATCATCCCCGACACTAAAAAAACTGAACAGTGAACCTGATGGCTGTGACGGTGTAAAAGGACTTCAGCTTCCAGCCTGGCACATGCCTTAACGGCTCCCATGTCCTGCAGACTCTCCGCTGGGCTCTTCAGGAACATTTTAGACATACATCTCCCAAGGATGTCAGCAACAGATATTATTGGTCTTGGTATGCAGGAAGGGGATGGACTAGGATCTCTCAAGATCTCTTGAAGCTTGACTTTCCCCTGACTGCTCCATTTACTGAGACAAAACATTTGCAGACTTCAATTCCCCAGTAATGAGGTCTCTGCAGGATATGCTTTCTTCTCTCCAAGGAATTTAAAAAATGATTCCATTCCTACAGTTCTTGATTTATGGAACCTGAGAGATTTTGCTAGCTTGAAGATAGTTTGAATAATACTTTGAGGGACTGGTTAGTCTGTGTGACACCAAAAAACCCTTCACATGCAACAGACTGAGGTCACACTGACCCCAAAAATGCCTTAGGAATTGCTGTCTCAAGAGATGCAGCTGGTCAGGGTGTTGGAGTTTCAGCAGCACTTTGCAATCTGGAGCTCAAAAAGAAGGCACAATATGGAAACACCAGTAGTCTCTGGTCCTTGTTCACAGCACGTGCCATGGTGTCTACAGCTGACTTATGTGTCTTGCCCTAATGTCTGGCATCAAGGATTAAGTATGATGAAGGATTCGGGCCAGCTAGAATCACGAAGTGTCTCAAGTCATCAAAGAATTATGAGTGCTGGAGCAAGACTACAGTGAGATGAACTTTAGCCTGAGGCACCTGATGCGATGTGGGAAGAAATGAAGGCAAAATGTTTGAGAAGGGAATATTTTTGAAAGTTTGCAGAGTCCCTCTCATTTCTTTTTCAGACAGCCATGGAAAAAGACAGAATTTTAGCAATTACAAGTCTCTGGAATTGCACCCAAAGTTAAATGGCATGATAATATCAATGACAAAAGTGATTTGAAGACTACTGTTAGCTTAGTATGGCTTGAAAATTGTATTTTTTCCAGAAAGAAGGACATATTGGCCTTGGCAGATTGTGCTATGTACTTTCCAACATCAGTTGAGTTTATCAACACTGAGAAACTGTATTTCACGATTGTAAAAAATGGGCTTATTTCATTCAAATCCGTACAACAGAGTAATGTTTGTCGTAGCAGTTACACCAGTGCTAGTGTGGAGACTGATGGCACAGACATAGCACTCAGCTTTACTTGCACAGTGGACCAGTCCAGGGACTAGTAACGAAGAAATCTCAACTGATTAGACACCATCCAATCCTAATTTTAGTTTTTAAGCCAGAAGACAGCTGCAGCATAGTTGAAGACATGGATGGCATGTTCATGGGTCCTCATTACAATGACACTGACTTCAGAAGCAATAACTGACGTTCAAATGCAGATTTTCTGAAGCTGAGGCCATGCAGGAGGGGGGAACTACATGGGGCATTTTATTTTGGGTCATCAAATTCCTTTTCTGAATATTTTTTGGTAGTGGCCAAGGAAGGAGAGAACAAATGGCAAAATGATATTAAAGTAGTCTGCAAATACCAGTGTCTGTGTAAGTGAGCTTCTTTGCATCCTCGGAAGAGTGCCTCAGGTGCCAGAAAACCAGCAGTCAGATGTGTGCACACCTCATTGAGATAAGCTTGACAGGTTGCTCCCAAAAGTTCCAGCACTTGGTTGTCTCTGCTTTACAACCCAAAGTACTAGTAAGACTTGAGCTAGTTCAGCATAGCAAGAAGGAGTGCTGTTGGCCAAAGCGGGAGCTCCTGAACGGATTGTGACAATGATATCCCATTCACCCACAGAATTTGTCAAAAGAAATAATATCAACCACATTGCGTGAAGTCCTGGCTGTCCTGTCACAGATGGATTAGTGGCAGGATTACCCAGACTTTCAAGCACGTGATTTGTGTTACAGCTGTATATAAAGGCAGTTTACAATAGAAGTCTACAAATTTGTCATTGGGGTATATGAATGCAATACATGAGATTATAAATCAAATGCCAGCAAAGCGGTTCATGAGATGTAATCTAAGGTCTCGTCTGGACTTGTTACAGCCTCATCAGAGTCATGCCTGCACTGGGAGGGATTCAGGTTCAGCTGTCCTGCTGCAGCACAGGGCAGGTGCACTGCAGACAAACGAAAGAAAGATTACGGTCTGTGGTAGTCACCATATAAAATGGCATCTTTAATTAGTCGTTGCCCATCTATACTAATTATAGAACCAACCTGACTGGGAGGTGCTAACCGCCACATCCCCTATGCCTCTGTCGAGCTTGCAGGGGCAGAGTTTGTTTGGGAGAGCTGACCTGGAGAGTCCCTCAATCCACTCTCTCAAGCTTAGAGTGTAATTCATCTCACTGTTCCCAGGTGTCCCGTGACTGACGTGCAGGTGCATCTTATTTGGGGTTTGTAGTTTTGTACTAGTAGTCCTGGGGCAGGGGATTTTCATCAGAGAGCTGGGATTGTGGTAGCGTTATGCTTTGGCAAGGTCTAGGCATTTTCTCGCTCCCTTTATGATGCCTCTCAGTTACTATTTTCCCTCTACCTTGATCCTGTTGTTTCTCCTAATTTTTGTACACTGTAAATAGGTGATGGTTTCCTACAATGCACAATAATTCACAGAGACACTGCTGCACTGACAGCTTGTGCTTGTGGTATTCCCACACCTGTACAATATTTGTGTTCTTTTTTTTCAAAGCGAAACCAAAATTCTTTTTTGTTTAAACTGCTGGATCTGCATAGGAGATTGGGACAGAGGATTTTCATAACTAAATTAGTCTGATGGCAGTACTGCCATGTCTGCCTCATCTGATGGTGAATATGTAACACTGGACAGAACAGAAAGGCTTTCACAAAATACACTTTGAAGATGGTCAGGGAGGTGCAGGAAGCATGCAATGAATGATTCCTCCTCCAAAAACCCCCCAGCTACAAAACCTCCTGGTGGGGAAAGCAGATGACAAACTCTTGGATATCACAGATTGCCTCCAGTTTTTATCCACATATGTTAATATATTTGATTCTAATATTTCACACGAAAGCCCATTCTTCTTGTTTACCATCTTTGCTGCAAAATACTGCCAAGTTCCGTTCTTCCCCCGCATGTTGTCTCTTAACTCAATCCCCTGCCTGCTCAGTGACTTCATATTTTAGAATAACTTTGGCTAGTTCAAACCGTTCACTCGTGACTCTTCCTCATTATCTCCTTTTCAGACTAAACAATTACAGTTCTGTCAATCACCCTCCGGATATGAGTTGCCTGATGCTCGTCTCTTTCCAACCCCATGACAATGTGACCTTGGTTATCCAAAATCTCCAGGGAAACCTGGAGCTCGCAAGTAATGATCGGTTTGGATAATCACTGCTGGCAGTTCTACAGAATTCGAGTCTTCACTTGCTACACTCCCAATTAGCCATAGTGCTGGTGGGCTTAATGTTTGATACGCTGAGCTCTGCACCAGAGATGTAGGCTGGTCCTTGTTTGCCTGCAACCATGTTGTTATTACTTTTCTGGGCCCGCAGGACCCTGAACTATGCTAGAAAAATGGTTGTGGAGGAGTTTCTGATATCTGTTTACTGTCAGACAGGAGAAGAGGTGGGCAGAGCACCACACTGGACTCTGCTTACTGCGCCGACACTAACGAAGACTAACATCAGGGGAAGAGAAACATTTTTTTTAACGTTTGTTCCCAGTCTGGGCTGTGTCAGATATTTGACATCTTTGGGACTGAGTGGGTGGAAATGGTCTCTCAGCCACAGAAAAGCCTACAGAGGCAGCCTGACAGCCTCCATTTTCTTTTTCAAGCTCAGCTGGATGCAACCAAAGAGATGCTGGGAAAAGAGAGGACGAGGAGGTGTAGGGCAAGGGACAGACCGGAGTTAACTGCTCCTGTTACCCACGGCAATGAGTTGTGTTTCTCAAGCTATTTGCTTCCCCATCTCTTCCCTTGAGATGTCTAGACAGTATAATAATCCAATTTATGAAACTGCCCGAGTCACTTTGAGTGCAGCAGTGCTCTTCTGAGACGAGTACCAGGGCACAGGCAGCCTACTTCATGTGGGGGAACCAGCAAAAGGACAGAAGCTTCTTCCCACAAGAAAACAGGCAAGATAAGGTCAAGATTTCTAAGGAGACAGCTTTCTGCCATTCCACCTCTGCTGGGATCTGCAGCAGCAGTAGGCGCTGCAGAGTCCGTGGCAGGAGCCAAGGGCTGAACGCTATGAGGGGGCTATCTCTCCCCCACCCCAAGACCAGCATCCTGCTATGAAGCTTGGACACTGCCCCGCAGAAGGTCTCAGCAGGACATGGCTTTAGCTGCCCGCCTCCCCACCGGCCTGAGCATCAAAGCCCCAGCAAGAGGGTTTGCTGGAAGCATGCCGCATTGGCTGCCTGCCCCCAACTCCTTCCCCCTC